TTGGGGCGTCATGTTGCGCTCCTGGTTTGTGATGCTGGGCTCGCTCCGGTCCGAGGGGGTGGTCGAGTCTTCGGTTGCGGGCTCCCGGGGGGATTATAGAGATTGACGCGCCTGGAGGCCGTCAATGGGTCGGAGCATTCTCGCGGTGTCCTTTGTTTCTGGGTCTCGAGGGGGCTCCTCATGATGAGGAGGCCCTTCGAGACGAACTGGGTACGGAAAGAATGGGTACGATGCCCAACAGCAGTTTCTGTTCATTTTGAACAGGGCTCGCTGTCCGCGCCGCCGCGGCCTGTGTCTATTTGAGACAGAAGACCGCCTGCCCAACAGTGGCCGCCGTTGGTTGGGGACATTATTTGTTGTTGGGCATTGTACCCATTTGTTTCGTACCCATTTCGGGCGTCCAAATCTTCGCCGCAGTTGCAACCCGCTCCAGAATTCTGAACTAGGCGCACTTGTGGGACAAAGCCAGGGATGGCTCCGGTAGGGGGTCCTTCGGTAGCCGTCTTGGAGCGTCTACGGGGCCTGTGGGGGCCCTCTTGGGCCGTCCGCGGCGCCTTCATGGGCCGTCAGGGGGCCATCTTGGACGGTCAGGGGGCCGTCTTGGGGGGGGGACTCAAATGATATTCAGGATCCTGGGGGAGGGGGACGGGGGAGGAGGACGGCCAATCATTTGACGCTCCTTGTCACCCCCAGCAGGCGGGGGTCGGCGGATTACCAGTAACAAAGTGGAGGATCATTTTCCCTCGGTGGAGTCACCCCCCTGTGTTGGTGTTGGTGCTGGTTGCCAGAGGTGGGTGTTGGCCGTCATTGTGGTGCTGGTCGCAAACGTGGCTCTCGTTGTGTTGTTGCTACTGTTGGCGCCCTTGACGGCGGTGCTGTTAGCCGCCACCGCCGTGGTGGGGCAGTCGGTCGCGTTTTTTTGTGGCGCTGTCGTGTTCGGTTGCGTCCGCGAGTGCGGTGCTGTTGCAGGCCGTTGCTGTGGAGGTGGCATTGCTGTCAGCTGCTGCCATGATGCTGGTGCTGGCCGCAGTCGTTGTGTTTTTTGTCGTACGTATTTCCGCAAACGATCGAGGTCACCTTCCCTAGTTTGTGTTGTTCCTGAAGAAGGGGTTCGCAGTCGGATTACCTGGGTGGGCGGCGCTGGTCATGGCAGCCGTCGTGGCGGCATTGGTGGTCACAATAGTCGTGCTCGTGATGTGCGGCTGCCGCGTGCCGTATTGGTGGTCATGCTGATTATCGCCAGTTCCTCTTACATTGTAAACCATGGGGATATATATTGGACGCCAGTAAACACTAGTAAACATCAGTACACACCAGACACCACGAAACACCAGTACGCCAGTAACCCTCCCCCCTCCGCTCCTCGGATTATGTGGTAAAAAGGAGGGTGGAAGCTTCTTGTGGGTCCCGTCCCCGGGTGTGCCAGAGATGGACACTCTGAGGCGCACGTGGGTGCTCGTGCGGAACGAGCGCCCGAGGAACCGGAGTTTCCACGGGGCGCCGCAGCCGAAACACGGGGCGGGGGAGGAGGATAGGAACGGACTCCTGTTGATGGTCTATTTCTGGGCGTTCACTCTGCGTGACGACGTCGATTGTGGAGTGCCGCACCTGCGGGATTTCCGCGGAGTGCATGGTTCGTGGGCAGAGGCGTCGTTCGGTTGGCTACAGAGAGGCATGTCATGTGAGGAGACGAGGAGGTACGTGCAGAACTACATGGGCGTTGTGGACTTACGACACGTCACGGACGAAGACCTCGTGAAGCACGAGGACGAGCTGTACAGCGACGAGGAGCTGGACCCGAAGATTGTCGATGCGGCGAGTCGGCGGAAGACGCACGTGGGGGGTACGTCCATGGAGAAAGAGGACAGGCGGACGAACGCAGCTGCGGAGTGCGAGCAAGAAAAGCTGGGAGGCAATGGCAAGGGGCGACGCCGTGTGGGGCGAGGGCATGGGTCGGAAAAGCGGAAAGCGCCAGAAACGTGGAGAGGGGGGTTGTTTGAGGTGGGATGACGCGGCAGTGCAGAGAGCTCAGGCGGCGGCCGCGTCGTCGAGAGCCGCAGAAGGAAGCGGCATTGGTGAAACAGAGAGTGGGCCAGAGGTGGTAGCGAGGAGAGAGGCGACGGCGTCCAGCGTGAGGAAGTGGAGAGACGGGCTTGCGGATGGGGAGTTGAACGCGGCTCAGCGCCGCGTCGTTGAGAAGGTAACAGATCGGGTGTTGGCGCAGGAGTTCGCGGGGCCCGCGAGGGGGAAGAGGACGAGCCATGATCGTTCAGGTGTGCAGCCCCTCGTGTGGATGTTGCACGGTGGTCCGGGGGCCGGGAAGAGTTTTGTCATGGGCAAATTCCGGAAATAATTGCTCAAGGAGGAGATGGGGTGGACGCATGGCGTAGACTTTCAGGTGGCAGCTCTGCAGGCGACGAACGCGGCAGCGCTTGACGGGAATACAATCCACCGTGCAATTGGGGTCCGTGTGAGCAACGCGAAGGGGCCGGGCGGGGGAGGCGATGCATGCGCAGAGTCGAAGAAGAAGACGAAGAAGGAGTTGGCTGCGCAACGTATGTCGCAGTGGAAGTGGTTGATAGTGGACGAGGTGACCATGGTCAGCGCGAACTTTCTGGCTGAGCCTGACTCGCACCTGCGTTCGTGCATGTCAGCTGCAAGTGACGCGAAGGTGGGTGGGGGCGGCGTGCGCAGGCCCTTCGGGGGCGTCAACGTGTTTTTTGGCGTGGATTTCTATCAGTTGGAGCCGCCGTCGGGGATAGCAATCAATGCGCTACCCGCGTCGTTTTTGAAAAACGCGAGGGAGTGCGCGCCGGGTGCGACGGAGGACCACGGGCAGTATATCCTTTGGGGGGCAGGAGGCGAAGGGGCGGTGCAAGGGGTGACGGAGTTGACGGAGTGCAAAGCGCGTGGAGGAACAGGGCGACTGGTTTCTTGGAGTGCAGGGCGAGTTTCTCAGAGGAGAGCTGTCCGAACGCACGCATTATTTTTTGCATGGCCGGCCGGCGGATGTCCCCGGATCGTGGGTGAGCGGCGCACCGTTGTGCGGGAACGCGCGTCGTGTCAGAGACGCTGAAGCAATTGCGCAACAGAACGGGCTGGAGTGCGAGAAGTGCAGAGTCGAGCGACAGAAGAGGAAGCTCGTCGCGACGTCGCCGGAAGACGCGCGGTTTCGCCAGGAGAAATTTGTGAGCGCCGTCGCCAGTGATGCGAATCAGGACATTCGGAGTCACGTGGGGAAGCAGAGAGCGCTGCAGTGGGGAAGGAGCGAGGGGGGCAGCTGCTCTGGGTCGCCGCCAGAGACCGCCCATGCCATGGCGGGGTGCAGAGGCGGCCGTGCAAGGTGGAGGACGAAATGCGGTGGCTGGGGTACCGCGACAAGGAGTGCGCGAGCTTGCTGGTTTGGCTACCGCTGGCGAAGGGGATGCCCGTGGATTTGGGGGGCCATTTGGATCGGTCGAAGAAGCAGCTGCTGCGGGGGCGTGCAGCGACGATCCATGGATGGGTGCTGCGCGAGGGCGAGGTCTCGGGAGATAAAGACGAAGAAGTCTTGTCGCATTTACTGAGAGTGATAGTGCTGGATTTCCCTGCGAAGGTGTGGCGCCTGCCAGGCTGGGAGCCAGGTCTGCGCCCGATCTCCCCATCGGAATGGCGGCAATGGTTCTTGGATGGGTATCGGATGCATCCAGTATTGAGTGGGAAACGCACCCAGTTCATGATCTCCCCGTCTTTGGCAGTGACGGCGCACTCTGCGCAGGGCCAGGCCGCGGGGGCCGTCGTGGCGGACCTTGAGAGAGGGCGCGGCGTGAGTTGGATGTCAAGTCGCGTTGCCATCGCGCGCGCGTGCAGGCGAGAGAACCTTTTGATCTTTCGGCCTTTTGACAGGAAGCCGCGCGGCGAGGGTTAGCTGCCTGGCGCGAAGAACCTCTTGCGAGTGCTCCGAGGGGAGGCCGTGGATTGGGGGAAGTGGGGGGCCGCGGGGCCAGTGCGAGCGATGCCGTCGGAGGTCGTTGGTGGAAGCGTTCTCGAAGTATGAGTTCCAGAGAAAGAGAGGCCGGCGTTTTGTAAAGAATGCACGGACGAGATGAACAACTCGGTGGAAAAATGGTGCACCGCGTGCAGAGGGCGGGCAAAGAAAGCGGAGGGTGGCGATGCGACGCGGCACGTGGGCGGCGGAAGCGCGGATGCAGCGGGCGACGACGGGGCGCCGAAGTGGATTCGGACACTGTGCTGCGCGAAGTGCAGCCATATGAAAGCCAAGGGAACGAGGGCGTGGGCGCAGTTCGGTGTGCGAACGACAAGAGCCTGGCGGTCTACGACGGAGAAATGGGCATGTCGGAAGCTCAGAAGAAGCACGACGCAGCAGATCAGAGGTTGCGTCGGAAGTGCGGGGGGGATCGGGGGAGGGCGGTGCCGCGGGCGAACTTCGAAGCGCGGGGCCGAACGCGGACAGCAGAGGCGGACGCGAAGCTGCTTGCGCGCCGCGCGCCCGGGTGCGGGGTGTCTTTCTGGGAGGTCGGCCATTCGAACCGCGACCAAGTGAAGGGCCACCTGGCGACAAAGGGGGCAAGAGTGGCGCGCGGAAGCTGTGCCGAGCGGGGTATCACCGCGAAAGGTGTCGCCGTGGAATCGAAACGGTTGAAGCGACTGCTGGTGCGCGCAGAGCGCGAGAAGGAGTTCGAACGGCAGCAGCGCATGGGCGCCAAGCAAGAGAGCGAACACTTCACGAGGAAGAGTAAAGTGGCATGCGCGGAGTGCGTCGCAGTCGGCTTCGCGCCTCGCAGCGCGCAAGCGTGCGAGTGCTTCGGCGCCTGCAAGAGGAAGCTGCCGAAGTCGAAGTTCACGGTTGACCGCATTTCGCGCGCGCCGTGGGAAGACGCGCGTTGCGGTGCAAGGCGCGCGCGTGAGATCCATGTGAACGCTCGAGACAGCGCCCGAATGTTGGGGAGGGGAAGGGGGAGGGGGGGGGGCAGGATGGGGGCGAGAACGGCGATGATTGAGGTGGGTGGGTGGGCGGGGGGGGGGCGAAAGCACAGGGGGAGCCTTGCGCTGGCCTCGGCCCGCGCTGCCGCAGGGCGAAGGGTGTCATAGTTGCTGGGGGCCGTCGCAGACGCGCGACGTGCCCGCCGTGTCGCCGCCGCCGTTTCTGACAGGACTGCTAAGCTGAGGGCCGTGTTGGGGCCCTGTTTGAGAGCCTCTAGGGCCCTCTTGGGGCGGTCTCGGCGATCTTGTGGGCCATTGTCAACGCCGTGTTGGCCGAAGAGGCGTATATGCCCATAATGATTGTGTCCTATAGGAATGGGACGATTTTGGCCTCTGGGGCCTCTCCCCTTGTTCTGTTGCGGTGCGCACGCTCATGAATCCGCGGCGTATTTGGGAGGCATCGTGGCTGCCGGCCGCGGGCACCGCGGCTGCCGCCCATTCCGCCCCGCCTTGTCTTGGGCTTTGTTTGACCAGGCGATGTGGTAGAAAGGGAGAGGAGGAGGAGAAGGAGGAAGATGCGGTGGAGGAAGAGGAGAAGAAGGAGGTCAAGGAAAAGGAATTCGGCGATTTTGGTATCTTAGTGTTTCCTGAGAGGCGTACTGGGGGGCCTTTTGGGATGTCTTGACGGATTCTTGGTGCCTTCGGCCGCTCCCTTGGGTCCTCTTGGGGGCTTCCGGGGGCGGAAGGCTCGGATTGTCGGTTCGGGCTCCCCTTCTTGGGCCCCTCTTGCGGCCGCCAGGGGGTTCTTTTGGGCAGTCTTGGGCGGCCCTTGGGCCGTCTTGGCGCCTTCTTGGCCCGTGTTCGGGCCCTCTTGGGGGCCTCTTGGGCCCTCTTGGAGCGGTCTTGGCGGCCTGGTGGGCCGGTGTCAACGCCGTGTTGGCCGAAAAGGCGTATATGCCAAACATGTACGTTCTCCCATAGGAATGGCACGACATTTGCCTCTGGGGCCCCTCTTCGGCAGCCGGTTGGAGGCCTCTTGGAGCGTCGTGGCGCCCTCTTGGGCCGCCTGGGGTCTTCCTTGGGGTATTGAAACGATCATTCGACGACTTTGTGCTCTCTTGGGCCATCTTGGGGGTGGCGTCGGAGGCTCTTGGGCTGTCTTGGGCGCCTCTTGGGCCGTCTTGGCGCCTGCTTGGGCCTTGTTGGGGCCCTCTTGGGAGCCTCTTGGGCCCTCTTGGAGCGGTCTTGGCGGCCTCGTGGGCCAGTGTCAACGCCGTGTTGGCCGAAAAGGCGTATGTGCCAAAAGTGCACGTTTTCCCATAGGAATGGCACGACATTTGCCTCTGGGGCTCCCCTTCGGCAGCCGGTTGGAGGCCTCTTGGAGCGTCGTGGCGCCCTCTTAAGCCGCCTGGGGCCCACCTTGGGCGTATTGAAGCGATCATTCGGCGATTTTGCGCTCTCTTTGGCCATCTTGGGGGTGGCGTCGGAGGCTCTTGGGCTGTCTTGGGCGCCTTTTGGGCCGTCTTGGCGCCTGCTTGGGCCGTGTTGGGGCCCTCTTGGAAGCATCTTGGGCCCTCTTGGAGCGGTCTTCGCGGCCTCGTGGGCCAGTGCCAACGCCGTGTTGGCCGAAAAGGCGTATGCGCCAAAAGTGTACGTTTTCCCATAGGAAAAAGGCACGACATTTGCCTCAGGGGTCCCTCTTCGGCAGCCAGTTGGAGGCCTCTTGGAGCGTCGTGGCGCCCTCTTGGGCCGCCTGGGGCCCACCTTGGGCGTATTGAAGTGATCATTCGGCGACTTTGTGCTCTCTTGGGCCATCTTGGGGGTGGCGTCGGAGGCTCTTGGGCTGTTGGGCGCCTCTTGGGCCGTCTTGGCGCCTTCTTGGGCCGTGTTGGGGCCCTCTTGGGAGCCTCTTGGGCCCTCTTGGAGCGGTCTTGGCGGCCTCGTGGGCCAGTGTCAACGCCGTGTTGGCCGAAAAGGCGTATATGCCAAAGTGTACGTTCTCCCATAGGGATGACACGAATTTTGCCTCCGGGGCCCCTCTTCGGCAGCCGGTTGGGGGCCTGTTGGAGCGTCGTGGCGCCCTCTTAAGCCGCCTGGGGCCCACCTTGGGCGTACTGAAGCGATCATTCGGCGACTTTGTGCTCTCTTGGGCCATCTTGGGGGTGGCGTCGGAGGCTCCCAACCGAGCCCAGGGAGCCCAGATAGCCTCGGTGAGTTCGGCGGAGGGTCGTCCACCACGAGGGGGGGGGGTCGAATTGCCGGTTTGGGGTCCCGGGGGGGATTATGGGGGGGAACAATCTCACACGCCTAGAGACCCGCAAGGGGCCGGCGGACTTTTAGTAGAGCTGCAGACCATAGGATCCCATCAGAGTTGGATCGAGCACTCTTATGATTTCATTGGAACTGGATCCGGCCCATAATATGATCCGATTAAAGTTGGATCGAGCCATAGTGGGATTCTTGTTGGAGATGCATCCATCCCTAATAGCAGGATTCGATTAGAGCGGAATCAAGCCTTTGTGGGATTCCATCAGAGCTGGATCCAGTCCTGGTAGGGTTCTATTGTGAGCTGGATCTAGCGTTTCTAGGATTCTGTTACAGCTTGCTGGGATCGCAGTAGGGTTCTATTTGAGCTGGATCCAGCCCCAGAGGTAGATTCGATTGGAGCCGGTTCGAACCGTCCCCCCCCCCCAAGGTTCGAACCAGGAGGGGATCGGGGGGTGGGGAGGCCCCCCCCCGTTCCCGGGGAAGGGGAGGAGGATTCTTTGTCCCCCCCCTGGTTTCCTGGAGAAGGGGCTGGATTTTTCCAATCACGCGACGGTGGATCGCGTTCCCTCCTCTATCATCATCATCATCCTCATCGTCATCATCATCATCGTCATCATCATCACCACCACCACCATCCAATCATCATCATCATCATCATCATCATCACCATCATCATCATCAGCATCATCATCATTGTCATCGTCATCGTCATCGTCATCATCATCAGCATCAGCATCAGCATCAGCATCAGCATCATCGTGACTATCATCATGATTGTAATCGTCATCCTCATCACCATCATCCCCATCATCAGCACCATCATTATCAGCATCATCATCATCACCACCATCCTCAAACTCATCATCATCACCATCATCATCATCATCACCACCGACATCATCATCAGCACGTCCATCAGCATCATCAACACCACTGTCATCATCATGATCATCATCATAATCATCGTCGTTGTCGTCGTCATCATCACCATCATCACCATCATTATCATAATCATCACCACCATCCTCAAACTCATCATAATCATCATCACCATCACCATCGTCATCATCACCACCGGCATCATCATCAGCACCTCCATCAGTATCATCAACACCACTGTCATCATCATCATGATCGTCATCATAGTCATCGTCGTTGTCGTCGTCATCATCACCATCATCACCATCACCACCATCACCATCATCATCACCATCAGCACCACCATCATCATCATCACCATCATCACTATCTTCATCATCTTCATCATCACCACTATAAGCATGTTCACCCCCCCTCTCTCCGCATCCCTCTCTTTCACAGTCTCTCTCTTTCGGCCTGCTCTCTCCTCCCATGCCGTGTGCCCTGTGACCCTCCGCTATCTTCCCTGCCTGCCCCGGCCGTGTTCCAACTTCCTGTCTCCAACATTCGAGCTTCCCCCTTCCATCGGCATTCCCAGGCAGACTCCTGAGGGCTCTGGTCCACCCGCGCTGCCTTCTTAGGGCCTGACCGCCGACATCGCGCGCTTGTGTTGTTTTGTCTTGTCTCCTCATATGTCTCCTCGTGAGAGCTGGCCGAAGGTGCTCCGAAAGCAGCTGGAGATGCAGAAGCAACAGCTGCAGCAGCAGCTGGCCGTGCACCAGCAACAGGTGCTCGCGGAGCAAGTCATCATGAGGCCGCTCACGTACCGTCCTTTTACTTCACCTCCTTCTCGCACCCACCCTTCTCTTTTGTCCTCCTCCTCCTCTTGCCTCCCCCTCCCTTTCCTCCTCCTCCTCCTTCTCCTCCCTCCTCCTCCTCCTCCTCCTCCTCCTCCCTCTTCCTCCTCTTCCTTCTCCTCCTCCTCCTCCTCTCTCCTCCTCCTCCTCCTCTCCTTCTTCTGTTCCTCCCCTCCTCCTCCTCCTCTTCCTGCTCCCCTTCCTCCCCTCCTCCTCCTCCTCCTCCTCCTCCTCCTCCTCCTCCTCCTCCTCCTCCTCTCCCCCATCTTCCTGCTCCTCCTCCTCTCTCAAGGCACTTGGGCTCCAACGGACCTTTGATTTGGTTCGAGACCAAGCCCCGCGCCTTCTCCTGATTCTTGGGGGCGCATCGAGTCGACCGCATCTTGGCGTGCAGTCGATCTGGATGGCGAACGTTTTGTTTTGCTGTGTTGCTGTTTGTTTGTTTGTCTGTTTGTTTGTTTGTTTGTTTGTTCGTTTGTTTGTTTGTTTGTTTGTCAATTTGCTTGTTTTTGTTGTTGTTTTTGCTGTTACCCAAAATCTGCGGTGAGTCCGTCCAGCTGGCACGTTCAGTTGTGCTGGTGTAGTCATCTCCTCCGCGTGCTTCAATGGTTAGCCTGGTGCGTCCACGGTTGAGGTTGTTCGTCCCCATGGCGGCAGTATTGGGCATCTCCTTAATGGGCTTCAACAGGGCCAGCTCGCCATGTCCATGGGTGCAGTTTTCATATTGTACGTCTGGTGGTGGTTTGCCCTCCCAGGCGGTCGACGTGTGCTAGGGGCCTTTGCCCTTGTGGCACACCCCCTGGGGTTCAGCGGCTTTCTACAGAATGGCGGGACTATTTCAATGCAGGTTTGTTTTTCTTCTTGGTGGTGGACTTGATGGACGTCCATAGTCCAATCCGCGCAGTTTCTTGTTATCTTATATGTTTTAGCGGGTTGTGCTTCAACTGCTTGGGCTGTCAGAATGTGATTCCCGACGTTATGGGTACGTGGTGGCTTGTATCGCGATGTTTCCTCAATGTCGGTCTTCACGCTCTGGCCATACACGGCCTTGTCTTTCTTCTTCTCTCGCTGGTCATGCGGTCTTGTCCAGGTAGGTCAAATATCCATTCAGTAGATGTGGGTTTATCGACAGGGGGTGCCCGACATGCGGTGGTCAATAGTTTTAGAGGTGGCCTGGCTCGTTTGTATGTATGTTTGCCATCCTGCGCGGCCTCGAACTTGTTCGTTTCTGGTGGGACGAGAGAGCATTGGTCAACTATGGAAGTACTAATGACGATATTCGTGTTGTTCGGTCAGCTTCGGCGGGCTCGTTCGGCGTTTTTGGTCGTGTCGCCCGTCATCATGCTCATTTTGCTCTTGAAGGTAAGTGGGTGGCTCGGACTCTGAGTTTGACATTGCTTCGCAAGCGTTCCTCCTCCACCTCCTCCTACTCTCCCTTATCCACCTCCTCCGCCTCCTCCTCCGCCTTCTCTACCTTGCCCTTTGCGGCCGCGAGGTCCGTCCGTAGGTGCCCTCGGGAACCCGAGCAGGCCGAGCCGAGGGCCTCGCCTCCCGCAACATCTGGGGCGGGGTTGTGCCTGGAGTGGCGGCTGCCGTGCTGCCAGCCTGGCCGGCAGGGCGGCGGAGGGGGCACCTGGCTCGGCCAGGGGCGCGAGCTCGCGGCCCGCGTCGCCCCGGCGGTCGAGCTGGGCGGCTAGCGGCCCAGGCGGCGCGGACCGGGCGCCGGGCTGGGAGTGGAGGTGAAGGAGTGCTACCGGTTCGTCGCGGTGCTCGTGGTGCACGGTGGGGGTAGGTGCGGGCATGCGTTGTGTCTCGACCTTCTTCATTGTTGCAGGAGTAGGACCAGTGCAAACCCAGGGCGCATCAACAGTGTCCCTGCAAGAACTCGTTTTCATGGCGGGAAGCGCTGCATTGAAAGGCGACCGTTTGAGAATCTCCAGATGCGCCAAAACGCAATTCCTGGGACTGCAGCGCTTCGCATCAGTGTGACTGTTGCGTCCTACTCCAACGCAGCGAATCAACGTGACTGTTGCGTCCTGACAATCCTACATCGTGCCAGGGCAGTGCTCCTGGGATTTCAACCATACGAGCCCTTAACACTGCTGTAGCCTGTTAGGTGGAATGTGCGGCCCTACGGGGAGAGCCACATTTTGAAAACGACCCGTCCTCCATCCGTGGAACTGTTGCGAGCTTTCCAGACGACTGCATCTGGCGCTAAGGCGATAACCACATTTTGAAAACGACCCGCCCTTCATCCGTGATCTTGTCGCACATTTCCCAGACGAATGCGCGCGGCTCTCAGGCGAGAACCACATTTTGAAAACGACCCGCCTTCCATCCTTGAAATTCCTGCAAACTGCTAGCACGAATGTGCGCGGCGCTGAGGTGAGAGCCACATTTTGAAAACGGCCCGCCCTCCATCTGTGAAACCGATGCGAACTTTTGAGGGGCGATTGCGCGCGGCGCTGAAGCGATAACCGCATTTTGAAAACGACCCGACTTCCATCCGTGGAACCGCTGCATGCGGCGCTAAGGCGAGAACAATCTTTTTAAACCGACCCACCCTCCATCGGTGAACCCGTGGCAAACTTTTAAGACGAATGCGCGTGGCGCTCAGGCGAGAGCCACATTTTGAAGACGGCCCGCCATCCATCTGTGAAGCTGTTGCACATTTCAAGTTTCAGGGTCATCCATCGTGTGTGAAGGCGTCTAAATCGAAACGCCCAGCCCGCCCTACCAACATTTTTGGGGGTGCAACAGGGGGGAGTGAGTGAGTTGTAAGGAAGCGATATGGAGTCAGTGGCTTTCTTCAGCGTCTCGTGGCTAGAGACGGTCCGCCGGCGGCAAGCGGGCGACGACGCAGACTTCGTTCGCCGCTCGATGGGGAGGAAGTGGGAAACAGTGTGAAGGACGAGGAGGCGGATGATGATGGTGATATGGTGATGATGACGACGATGCTGATAATGATGACGGTGGTGGTGACAGTGATGTTTGTGGTAGTGCTGATGGCCAACACGTTCAAAGCTTTGATCACAAATCGTTCATGGGGTCGATTCCCTCCTCGATCCTCGATTCTCCATCCTAGATCGTGCAGGGGGTCGCCCCTCCACCGCGAACGCGCCAGGCAGCAGATGCCCCTGCTGGGGCCGGCGCAAGTGATGCAGCTGATGCAACGGCAGCAGTTGCAGGCGCTCCCTGCGGGGGGGCCCTGCCAGAAATGCACCCCCGTCCTCTTCCTCTCCCTTCCCCTCCCCCTCCCCTTTCTCCTCCCTGTTCCGTTCTCCCTCCCTCCTTACGCTCTTCTTGGCAAAGACGCCAACCAGTCATTTCTTACTTCAGACAAGACTTATCCGTCAGATCTGTGTCTTTGTCTGGCTAAGGCCATGCAGCAGGACTTAATCGTACCTGTCTCTGACTCCTCTTCGGAACGTTTCATTTTCTCTTCTTCTCCGCTCGCTCTCCCCTACTCTCCTCATTCTCGCAAAAGGTGCCACGTTGACCCAGAGCCAGATCTTTTTTCGCAAATTATGATATACGTTCTCTGTTTCGAAATGTTCTCCCTGAACAGTTGATCCTGAGTAAACTGCAGAAAGGGAGGCCTCTCATTACTTGGGCAACTTGGAAGTTTATCCTGGCCCCCTCCTCCGCCAGAGCTTGCATTGGAGCAGCTTCGTCGCATTCAATATGAGAGAGTGAGGAAGCCAGATAACCGAAGGACGCCAGGGCGTCCTCCTCCACCTCCATCCTCAAGGGCATATTCAGATCGCACATATTTTCCTGCTCCTGAGCATTTTCCGCTTACAGCTTCTTTCTCCCTGGTGGGTTCTTTTTCCATTTGGGCTGATCTCGCAATGCCCTACCCCAAACAGAAGCGCCAGCCATGGCGCAAGGTTGAGACCTTCAAGGGAAGTGGCAGTGCCTCCTCCGCTTCTCTGCTTCCGCCTCCTCCTCTACCGCCGCGTCTTCCACTGCCTCCCCCCCTGGGGAACTTTGGCCCATGGCTTCGTGCCTCTCCTCCAGGTTTTTTTTTCGGAGCGTCGCCCCTGGGTGCGCAAGGAGGCTGGCCCTCCTGAGGAGTGGAAAGGAGATGCCCCTTCTCAGGCCAGGGCGCCTCCAATGCGGATTTCTTTTCCCTTTATGCCCATGGTCTCACCTCAGGCTTGGTCGAAGCGCAAGGACATCGAAGCCCCCTAAGGTCATTTAAATACGTCATCAGCCTGGGCACGCAAGGGACCGCCTTCACGGACCAAGTCCATGGCCAGGATGCCAGGCAAGGGCGACAAATGACCGCCCAGTTCCACCTCCATTGCAGAGACTGTTGCAGGCACGTGTGGTGCTCCCCAGCTTGGTCCTTCTTCTCCTACCTCTGGAGCCAGCGACGAGCCAGTCGCCTTCCGCAGTAATGATTTTCGCAGATCTGCAGCCAAACATCTCCTCCAGAAGCCAAGGTTGCCGAAACCCTCCCATGCCAGCCTTGTGGCAGCGGCGGGTATCCGATGTAGGCTACGAGCATCCTCCTCTGACGAATCTCTTCGGCCCCGCCTCCGATCCTCGGGCTCCCAGGACGAAGGAGCGGGGCGGCGCCGTCTCCCTGTCTCGGACACCTCCGGTGTAACTCCCCCCCTCCCGCCCGAGAGAGAGCGGGGCCCCCTTCTCGGACCCCTCGGGCAACGGTCCTCTGCCTGCAGGGCCTCCACCGGAAGAAAGCTGCGGAGTTTCAGGGGGCTTTCGTCTCGTAAGGATGGGCGCCCAAGTGGGAAGTGAGGCTGCTGGCGCTTCACGCCCTCCGAGGGATCATGCTTTCTTTCGTGGCAGAGCCTGCAGGTTCGGCGAACTCGTGTTTCCTTCGGGGCATTCTCCGGCCATTCTCAGCTTACCTCCTTGTCCCCGTCAAGATCAGAGCTTCCATTTCGTTCATGGTTGGGTGTGTGTTGGGGGTCTCCTCCCCTCTCCCGGTCCATAACCATTTGTGGGCTCAGCGCTGAAGATACGATTGTGCGTTCCCCCGTCCCTCTCGGACAGAGGGGATCAGGCATGGCTCCCTGTCCCTCTCTGCGTGATGTCTTCTTCCGCGCTTCCAGCTGGCGACTCCCAGGGCGGTTCGGAGGTTCAGGGCTGTAGATCTATGCATTCCTTCCGCTCCTACTCCAGGTGGTTTCCCACTTCTTATGCATTCTTCTTGAAGCTCCCCAGCGGCGTTTATAGGCCGTATCTTTGGAAGCTAATGTCTTGCAGTCTGGGCGAAGAAGAATCGGCTGTGCCCTGGGTGGTTACGCCAGGCCTTTCCGAGCCCGCAGAGATCCATCCTCCAATCGCTCCAGATGATGAGTCTATTGGGAACGACGAGGCCCCCCTCTCAAAGAGGGGCAGGTACAACGTGGCCTATGTTTTTCCTGCTTATCGCCCTCCCCAGTGCGCGACCACTTTGCATCTCTTCCTCGTCATCTCCATTCCTTGCAGTTCAGAATTTGGCACATTGCTCCTCTGTGAGTGGTAAGCGCTTCAAGAGCTTGTCTGCTCTCCCCCTTATGTCATCATGGTTTCTCATACCTGGCCTCCCCTTTCGCAACTCGGTAGCTAAGCAGGGAAGGCAGCGCTCTTTCAAATGGCAGTCGTGAGGAGGGCTGGTTGCCAGACCTGAACGGCAAGCTTCAGACAAGGCTTGCATTGGAGGCTGGTAGGCCCACTCGTTCCTCCCATCTCCTTTCTCTGATGCCATCCAGCGGATGGTGCAGTTTATTCTTGAGGTACGGTTGGTTATAGCCCTTATTTTGGGGAAGTGGTTCTCCTCGCTTTGGGATGCAGATCGCATCTTTTGCGCCTTACACGCCTACAGGTATGCAAGGGGCTCGCTTCAACTTTGGGGATTTCGTCATCACTTGTTTGTTGCAAGCGTAGGCCCATGGGTCAGTTTAGTTCTCTTCCCCCCCCCCCCGCGGCGCATAACTCTTCCTCCTCATCTGGAGACGTCGCGTTTGCCTCGCCTCTTTTCCTCTTGTGCAGAGACTCTGGAGTTATCCTTGTTGCCTGCCCTCTTTGGAGCGCTTCGGGATGACATGCCCAGCTCCCCTCCTCCAGTGTATGCCCCTCTCCTCCCATGTATGGGCAGTTCACGTTCGCCCACTTTCCCGGTATGGAGGAATAGAGCTCGGCCTAGGGGCAGCTATCTTGATGTACATGTTTTTGCAGCTAGCAGCGAGTTCCAGGCCACTGGAGGGGATCCCTTTTTCCCTTTCAGTGTGTCTCCTTCCCCCCCCTCTCTTTATTATTATGTTCCCCCCTCCCACTGTCACTTCAGATCTGGGCTAGTCTTCACGGCTGTATTTTTCGTCGCGCGGACGCCTGTGGGCGGATTGGCCCAACATGACGCATGCCCTTGGCGCAAGCTCGCTGCAGTCCAAAAGTCTTCCGTCCTCCTCTTCCCCCCCCCCTCCCCCCTCCTCCCCCTCTACAATTACTCAATATGAATACTACTCTCCCTCTTCCCCTGATGACGGAATGGGAGTAGCCGACCCCCCCCCGCGTACTTTTTTTACCTAACAGCGAAGACTGATAGGTTTCTAGTGGTGTCAAAAGAGAGCATCTGATGACTCAGAAGGGAGGTCTGGGCGGCATCCGGACAGCGAGGGCCGGGCTCAGGGCCGGGCTCGTTTTAAGCAAACAGTCGCACACTTCGTGCTCTTCGACCTCCCAGAACTCCATTCCCGGGCCACATTTTGGATGCTCGGAGCCAACTGTAGGCCACTTCGTGCTCTTCGAGTTCCCAGAGCTCCATTCCCGGGACACATTCTGAATGCCCGGAGCCAACTGTAGGCCACTTCGTGCTCTTCGACTTCCAGAATTCCATTCCCGGGCCACATTTTGGATGCTCGGAGCCAACTGCAGGCCACTTCGTGCTCTTCGAGTTCCCAGAGCTCCATTCCCGGGACACATTCTGAATGCCCGGAGCCAGCTGTAGGCCACTTCGTGGTCTTCGAGTTCCCAGAACTTCATTCCTGGGCATGATTTTGAATGCCCGGAGCCAACTGTAGGCCACTTCGTGGTCTTCGAGTTCCCAAAACTCCATTCCCGGGCCACATTTTGAATCCTGAGGCAGGCTGATGCTGAGGCTGAGGCAGGCTGAGGCTGAGGCAGGCTGAGGCTGAGGCCGAGGCTGCAGGCAGACTGAGGCTGAGGCTGAAGCAGGCTGAGGCTGAGGCTGAGGCAGGCTGAGGCTGAGGCTGAGGCAGGCTGATGCTGAGGCAGGCTGAGGCTGAGGCTGAGGCTGATGAGGCTGAGGCTGCAGGCAGCTGCTGCAGGCTGAGGCTGAGGCTGAGGCTGAGGCTGAGGCTGAGGCTGAGGCTGAGGCTGAGGCAGGCTGAGGCTGAGGCTGCTGAGGCTGAGGCCGAGGCTGAAGGCAGAGGCTGAGGCTGAAGCAGGCTGAGGCTGAGGCTGAGGCTGAGGCTGAGGCTGAGGCAGGCTGATGCTGAGGCAGGCTGAGGCTGAGGCTGAGGCTGATGCAGGCTGAGGCTGAGGCAGGCTGAGACTGAGGCTGAGGCAGGCTGAGGCTGAGGCAGGCTGAGGCTGAGGCTGGCTGAGGCTGAGGCAGGCTGAGGCTGAGGCCGAGGCTGAAGGCAGACTGAGGCTGAGGCTGAAGGCTGAGGCTGAGGCTGAGGCTGAGGCAGGCTGAGGCTGAGGCTGAGGCAGGCTGATGCTGAGGCAGGCTGAGGCTGAGGCTGAGGCTGATGCAGGCTGAGGCTGAGGCAGGCTGAGGCTGAGGCCGAGGCTGAAGGCAGACTGAGGCTGAGGCTGAAGCAGGCTGAGGCTGAGGCTGAGGCAGGCTGAGGCTGAGGCTGAGGCAGGCTGATGCTGAGGCAGGCTGAGGCTGAGGCTGAGGCTGATGCAGGCTGAGCAGGCTGAGGCTGAGGCCGAGGCTGAAGGCAGATGAGGCTGAGGCTGAAGCAGGCTGAGGCTGAGGCTGAGGCAGGCTGAGGCTGAGGCAGGCTGAGGCAGGCTGAGGCTGAGGCTGAGGCTGATGCAGGCTGAGGCTGAGGCTGAGGCTCTGAGGCAGCAGGCTGAGGCTGCAGGCTGAGGCTGAGGCTGAGGCTGCAGGCTGAGGCAGGCTGAGGCTGAGGCAGGCTGAGGCTGAGGCTGCAGGCTGAGGCCTGAGGCAGGCTGAGGCTGAGGCTGAGGCAGGCTGAGGCTGAGG